TCTGGGCCTTGAGGTCCGAGACGTTGTCGGCGAGGCGGCGGGAGGTGCTGCACCCGGGGAAGGCGCCGGCGCGCTCGAAGGCGGCCACGACGGCGTCCTCGAGGAAGACGCCGGCCGAGACGATCTTGAGGGAGGGCACGTTGAGGCCCTCCTCCCAGAGCTCGCGGGACTCGGGCATCATCGAGGTGATGCCCTTGCCGCCGATGTCGGTGTGGTGGCCGCGGGAGGCGACGTAGAAGGCGATCTCCTGGCGCCTGGGGGCGTCGTCTTCGTCGCCACTTGTGGGCGAGGGGGGGTCCGAGTCGACGAAGACGGGCGTCACGACGGTCAGGTCGGGGAGGTGGGTGCCGCCCCACTGCGGGTGGTTCGTGAGGAGGACGTCGCCGGGCTGGAGCTTGCCCTCCCACAGGCGGTGCTGCGCCTGGATCGCGAACTGCATCGAGCCGAGGTGGATGGGGATGTGCGGGGCGTTGGCGACGAGCTTGCCTGAGGGGGAGAAGATGGCGCAGGAGAAGTCGAGGCGCTCCTTGATGGACGTCGAGATGGAGGTGCGCTGGAGGGTGGTGCCCATCTGCTCGGCGATGGCCATGAAGCGATGGGCGAAGACGGAGAGCTGGATCGGGTCGACAGCCGGGTCGGGAGATGACGAGGGGAGGCCGGGAGTCGGAGTGGTGGTGGCGGTGGTGAGGGCGGGTGAAGGTGACGGACGAGAGATCTTGTCGAGTAGGACGTGGGAGGAGAGGATGTAGGCCCGGAACGTGGGAGAAACGAAGATGGTCTGGGTCTGGTCGATGAGCAGCGCCGGCCCAGGGATGACGACGCCCTTGGGGACGCCGTCGAGCCGGTAGACGCCCGTGTCGTGCCATGCGCCGTCGATGTAGACGGCCTGCGTCTCGCCCGGCGCCGGGGCTTGGACGTGGGCGCCGGCCGCCAGCTCCTTCAGCGCCGACGCCTCCCGGATCCGCGCGCCCGCGCTGCCCGTGCCGCGGACCTTGATCGACTCGACGACGATATCCCTCTGCATCGAGAAGGCGAACTCGCGGAGGTGCGTCGCCTCGAACGCCGCCGCGTAGTCGCCGTCTGCGGGCCGTGCGATCGTGAGGTTCGTGTCGGTGCCGAAATACCGCAGCACGAGGCTCTCGTCGAACACGACCGACGCCTCCTCCGCCCCTTGGGCGCGCAGCTCCGCGCCCACCCGCGCCTTCAGCGCCGCCAGCCGCGCGGCGATGTGGGCCATCGCCGCCGCGGCGTCTGCACCCAGGCGGCGCCCGTACGGCTCCAACGCCTCGTGCTGCAGCTCGGCCTGGGCGATGCCGTACGCCGACAGCAGCGACGAGTACTTGTGGATGAGGACGCGTCGGATGCCGGGCTTGTCGGCGATGTCGCAGGCGTGCTGGCCGCCGGCGCCTCAGAAAGGAAAAAAAGGGGGGTGGTCCTCGGACGAGAAACCCCGTTGCGTCGGTGGCCTTTGTGGGAGGGGGTACGCCATGGTGATCATTAGTACGGGCAGGAAGCTTGGGATGGGGTATTAGATCAGAATGAGTGAAGTGAGTGCTTTTTGGGGCGGGTGCGGGGGGCTGGTAGGGTTCTGAGGAGAGATACTAGTGTATTTACAACTAAAGAAGCAAAGAGATAAAGTAAAATATAGCGAGTTTGG